AAGTTCTCCAAATTTGCTCATTTCATCGCATTGAAGCACCCATTCGCGACCAAGACTGTGGCTCAGCTGTTCCTAGACAATGTCTACCATCTGCATGGTCTGCCAACATCCATCATCTCCGATCGCGACAAGATCTTCACCAGTCAGTTTTGGCAGGCTCTATTTAAGGTAGCTGGTACTTCTCTCCGCCTCAGCTCCTCGTACCACCCGCAGACCGATGGACAAACAGAACGGGTAAATCAATGCCTCGAGACCTTTCTCTGCTGTTTTGCTCACTCCTGCCCTTCCCAGTGGCATCGATGGTTGTCACTTGCGGAGTATTGGTACAATACATCCTTCCATTCTGCATTGGGCAAGTCACCTTTTGAGGTCCTATATGGTTGTACTCCTCGACACATGGGTCTGGATGTGGAATCGGTTGCTCCTGTCCCAGATTTGCAGTCTTGGCTTGCTGGTCGCAGACACATGCAGGAGCTCATCCAGCAACACTTGCTGCGTGCTCAGGACCGCATGAAGCGTCAAGCTGACAAAGGTCGCTCAGAGCGAGTGTTTTCAGTGGGTGATAAGGTGTTATTGAAGCTCCAACCCTATGTGTAGTCTTCTCTGTTGCGCCGTGCAAATCACAAGCTGTCATTTCGCTTCTTTGGGCCTTTCAAAATTCTCGAGAAGCTTGGACCTGTGGCTTTCAAATTGGAGTTACCACCATCATCAACTATTCACCTAGTTTTTCATGTGTCCCAGCTGAAGCTGTCTCCAGGTGCTCAACAGGTATCTGCTACTTTGCCATCTGACTTACAGACTTTCCAAGTCCCACTTCGTATTCTACATCGTCGCTGGACTTCGGGAGATCACCCCATGGAGCAGGGTCTCATACGGTGGTCCCAGACTCCACCGGAGTTGGCTACCTGGGAGCAGCTTGTCACTCTGCGACAGCAGTTTCCGCGTGCGTCGGCCTGGGGACATGCCGGCTCTGAAGACCCGAGGACTGCTAGCAGCTCTGGCCTGGCGGCACCTGAAGAAGAAGATGCTACTCCCAGCTTGCCTACCGGCCCACTTCCAATTAGGCCCAAGAGAGTCACGAAGCCCAGCTCTCGGGTGACTGGCCCATCCAGGATCAACTAGGAAACAAAGTATAAGTAGCAAAGAGGAACTGGAGAGATACATGAACAGAAATATGTAAACCCTAAATTCAGTTTTAATCATTCATGGTAGCTTTATCTCTGTAATTCTGTTCTTCCTGTATTCCTTCCTGCCTCGGCGCCGTTGGGTGCTAACAGAGCCGCACCCACCGCGATCCGTGCGCGGGTGATCACGCCGAACTGCCCTGCGTCATAAACATCAACATATTTTTGTATATATTTGATGAGGTCGAGCCCTTGAAAAACGAGACAACGACGTTCTTTTTTGAACGAAAGGAGTACATACAAATGAAGCTGCTTGACAGTCCTTGTGATGCATACATATATACATGCATATACATTCATCCGTACCTACAACTGATGTTTGAGATCTGATTGTCCTTACTGTACATGTTATACATACGTACAAAAGAAGTTTTGGGGCCTGACTGTCCGCGTTATACACATAGAGACATGCAAATAACGTTTGAGGCCTAATTATACGTGTAGCTTGCTCAAGAGGTCTTCTAAAAAGGGGAATATACAGTAGCGTGTTTGCAAATGACGTTTGAGGCCTAATTATCCGTGCAGCTTGCTCAAGAGGTCTTCTAAAAAAGAATATACAATGGCTTGTTTGCGGTTTATTTCCTTTTTTTTATTTTCTGATGATAATTGGTGTAATCTAGCTATAGGCTTTGCGTATGTGTGATGGTAACCAATAATCTACGACCACCTTTATTTTTTCAGGTCAGCACTGTTGCTTAGCTTTTGTAGAGTGACTTTGTCTAAAGCTGGGAATAAACCTCTTTCCGGTGCCACCTTTGTTCAATCGAGTCCATGTTCTTTATTTCCCAAAACCCATAACCAGAAGGTTGCTTGCTTTGGAATTGGGCTTTCTAGCTTTCTTTAGTACAATCTTTTTGCGAGAGCAACCCCAGGTTCGTTCCTTAAGACTACACTCACAGCTTTCTCTGTTCATGTTCCGGCATAGGGGATCTAGTGGTAGGATAGGGGACAGAGCTTTAGGGCTGCAGTAAACCTCATATGCGCGTGGCTCATCATAAGACCTTAGCCTGATGTCCTACCCAAAGCCTTTCAGCCTGTTCGCTTGTGGGTTTCAGCAAGCTCAAACCAGCCAGCCAACAGTATTTTCCTCTCACAAAAAATCAGCACCAGCCAGCCCAAACCAGCACCAGCACCAACCAGCGAACAAGCCCTTTAAAGGTAGTCACAGGACAACCTTTCCTAGTTCTAACTTCCAAACCTATAATTTGGTTTGCTTGCCTACTTCCTATCTGACCTATCAATCAAATCAAATCAAATCAAAGAAATAAAATATACAGATTGCCAATATCTACTCGGTAGGACCAAAACACTCGATCTATATCCGGTAAGTAAATAATCACCGCATGAAGACACTGGAAGGCAAGTAAATAAAATGAAATAAAACTCACGGAATCACCGGCAGGCAAATAATTACCGCATGGAGACACTCGAAGGCAAGTAAAAAAATGGAATAAAACGGAAAAGAGAATTATGGGAAGAGAAAGAAATTTATTGGAATATCACCACGCAATGATTATGATTGTTATCCAAATCTCGTTCGTCGTCCTTCGCGTTGCATGTTGACAACAAATACTTTTTTCCCAAAAAATGAATTGTTGCCATGCCTCATGCGGGCTAGGATGTTATAAGTCCGAGTATACATGTTTTGGGCAAGGTAGAGCATGGATAAATTCAATTCGATGCCTAGCAATAAATTTTCAGCTTTTGAGGCAACTGATGTTTATCGTAACTTTCAGACAACAAGCTCCAAGCCTAGCTTTTATTTCAGATTCATTACGATAATGAATGTATTTCTAGACACTATCATGGCATAATACATGTGAAAAATTGAATTGATATATTCTTGATTTTGACTTCACTAACAAACATCTTATTTAATTTATGTTGCACCGTTGCAACGCTCGGACACTCATCTAGTCAATCAAAGAAATGTTCTAGTCTAGTTCCGCGATACGAGCTTGACTGTCACTCTGAGACAGTAGATTTCTTGGTTGGGGTACCTGGCCATTAGTCAACGTACGGCAAGTCAAGTGCAATGCATGTGGTGAATGCTGAGGAAATAAGAGAAAACTAAGGCACTGCACCTCTGGTCAACTGGAGTACTCTACTTATCATCAGTTCACCACCAACCGACCTGGTCGCAAATGACCCTTTACCTGATCTTGTCGATGTCAGTTGTCAAATGCATGCTATGTGATCATCAATCACGGAACAAGATTTTGTATTTTTATAGAAAATTAAATGACGGTGCCATCGAAGCAAAACGTGCAAACTGAGGAAGAATCACGCACCTCGATCCAAGCAAGTTTCTTTCACAAGTGACGGTGTCTTTTCTTTTCCCCTCTCGCATTATTTCCCCCCTTTTTTAAGTGACCAGTTGAGGACTAGTTATTTGAAACAAAAGCAAAAAGGAAGGCTAACACAGGGTAGAGTGTCTTGTAGATGTTTGATACTCGATTTTCTCTCTTCCCCATGGCAAGCTGATCAAGGCAGCTTCTTTCCCTACTACAGAAAATTATGGGTTAGGATTCGGAGTTTTGGTATGAAGGTTGGAGGGTTTTCGCTGACCAGAGGGGTACGGTGGCAATTGCCAACTGGCAAAGGCAAGGCAAGGCAGTGATGACGCAGCCACGCAGGCAACCAGATTGAGGGGGAGTCGACATCGACGGAAGGAGAGAGAGGAAAAGAAAATGTATGGTGCGTATTATTGCTCCTAGTCAGTACTGAATAGGAGGATAGAATGTTGGATCATCACCCAACGAGTGAAAATTTTGAGTGATATGTAGTATATAATAATACCTGAGTGTTCTATTTTTTTAAATAACACAATAGAACATCCAAGTGTTCTATTTTTTTTATAAAAAAAATCAACTGATAACAAGTTTGTTGGACATATATATTACTAATAATGTAATACATAAGAATTAACTTATAGTAATGAAGTAAAAAAATACTACCACCACAAGACTCCTAACACGATGGATGTGAAAACAAAACAACCACATGACAAATACACAACCAACTGACCATTAAAGAACTGCAATCAACATGACGGATGTGAAAGTTTTACCCTTGAGGGCATATGCCCCATATGTAGATGCATGCATAGGGAGGAACCATGGGGTTCCTCTAGCAATGCCTCAAAAAAGTAAAAACAATATCCACAAATATCGTCTACGTTAAGTCTGAGATCTGGCCAATAGTTTTTCAACCTAAACCTAGGGAGGTGCACAGATGAAATGAGAATATGATTTTACTCGGGGAGTACATGGTTTCACTTTATCACTATATATCTTCCATAACGTAAATAATGACCTTGACATCAGTGATCTATATATACATATTAATTAACAACCGCTGGTAATTCACATTATTAATCCAAGAAAGCATGTGTTTGCGTTCTGAGTTAGTGGCGATATGATGCATGGTATTATCAGTTGAAGATGTCCTGGCCGGGGGAGAGCAGCTTGTTGGGGTCGTACTTGTTCTTCATCTCCACGAAGCGATTCCACTTGACGGTGCCGAAGTGGCGGACCCAGTCACTGCGATTGGTGTAACGCGCCAGGTAGCTCTTGTACTGGATCCCGGCGAGGTCGCAGAAGCGCAGGATCCTCCGGTTCTGCTCCTTCAGCCTCGCTAGGTCGTTGGCCACCGACGAGAAGAGCAGCGACACTGCGTAGAACACGCCCTCCGACGGCGTCGCCGCCGACATGTCGTCGTCCCACCTGATGAATTAAAACCCAGAGAATCGAAGAGCGAGTCAGGGCGTGCACAGCTAGCTTGATGGTTTGCATACACAGGCGTCCGTGCACGTACATGGATTTGTTGAGGGGGTGGACGATGAGCGGGCCGACGATGTCGGTGCCCTGGAGGATGCCCTTGAAGACGCCGCGGTCCACGTCGGCGATGCGCGACCGCGGCACGAACATGTTGAGCCACGGGTGCGGCACTCGCCATAGCCCCATCTTGTCGAGCGCCACCTCCTCGTTATGCACCCGGTCCAGGAACTCCTCGTAGGTCACGTCGCGCTGGAACGCGAACCCCTCCACGAAGCTTAGCGTGTCCAGCACAGACTTGAGCTCCTGCATGCATGCTTGCCCGGTCCGGTAAGAGTAATCACCCATCACATCCATGCAAGCATCATGGTCATGGCGACCGGGAGCTATAGACGTGGTCAGTACCTGGTCCACCGACGTGGCGTTGTCGTAGTTGATGGTGGCCTCGATGCTGTACACGGTGGTGGCGTTCCTCTCCCTGGCCAGCTCTACGATCCTGGCGACGTCGGCGTCGGAGAAGAACTCCGTGTTCGTGAGGTCGGTGGCGAGGCTCTGGTTCACGAACACCGACCCCTCGACGTAGCTCATCGGGCCGAACGCGCCGTCGGCCCGCGGGGCGATGAGCCGCTCCTGGTCGGCGGTGAACGTGGCGAAGTCGGTGTAGACGAGCCGCACCCACCGCGCCCGCGCCCGCGCCGGCTCCACCACGATCCGTGCGCGGGTGATCACGCCGAACTGGCCCAGCCCGCCCAGGACGGCGTCGAACAGGTCAGCGTTGAGCTCCTTACAGCACGTCATCATCTCTCCGTGGCCTGCACGCACGCGTGCACGACAAAGTCAACGCCCGACAATTGATCGAAATTCCAATGTCAACGCATCAATACTGCGAGCCAGCATGTTTATTTATTACTGTACTTAATAAAGACGTCGCCGCCCCTCGCCTGCCGGCCGGTGCAGCGCGGACATTAACCACCTTGCCCTTCTAGTATAATGGAGTACAATTTTAAATATGATTTGCATTGTAGTTAACGAATTTAATCAGGTTGATTGGAGATGGTTGCTGTCGATCGTGTCGCCCCGTGGCAAGCAACAACGGCAGTTGATCGATGCAGGTGTGGTACGTAATTATCTATTAGTACGTACCAATAATAAGCAATTTTAAAGAAAAGGGCGATCGAGCTAGCGTTGGCTTGTTGGTGTGGTGCGCGGATATTTTGTGCAAGGAACGTAGGTGCAGACGTACCGGTGATAACGTCCAGCTCCAACACGTTAGATATCTGTGGGCCGTGCCGGAACGCCTGGCCGCTGATGCCGGCGTTGGACAGCGTGCCACCGACGGTGAGGTAGAGGTAGTCCGTCCAGGACCGCGGCGCCACCCCGCGCGTCAGCGACGCGCGCAGCACGTCGATCCACATCTGCTCGCCGCCGGCGTCCACGTACCGGCCGTCCGCGGACACGTTGATGCGCGGCGCGGCGGCGGCGGCGGCGGCGTCGCCCAGGGAGGCCATGTTGACGACCACGCCACCGGGGGCGAAGGCCTGGCCCATGAGCGAGTGGCCGCGGCCACGGAACGCGATGGTGTAGGGCCACCCGGGGGTGGAGTTGGCCGCGGCCAGGAGCGCCGCCAGGTCACCCGTGGACGACGGGTACAGGACCGCCGCCGGCAGCGCCGACGTGATGTTGCCAAAGTCCGTCGAGGCCGCCACCGTGGCGTTGGTGTCGGTTCTGAGCCTGCCCTCCGCCACGAGCGCGGCGAGGGCGGGTGGCCAGGGACGGTGATCTCCAACAAGCGCAAGCGTGCCTACTAGTGCATGAGAGCAGGCGATTAGCGCAGCAAACAGCAGGTTAACCACCGCCATTAGCGATGTTGTTCACGGGGAGAGAGCTACACGTTATGTGTGTGTGTTTTTTTGGTAACTAGGACGTGGTGTTTGCACCCCCTATATATAGGACGGGTAGGGCAACACATACGTGTGGTGTGATTACATACTTCAATTACTCGAACACACAGAGCTGCTTTCCAAGGGAAAAAATTATTCTGCATGCCGTCTAGTTTTATATTGTTTGACCACAGAAAAATAGCACACAGACACAGGTGCCTAGTTACCATCCTTCTAAGGATTTAGAAAAACCTATATCTAGTCCTATCTAATTACTGCCTCTATCATGTAATATAGCGCATTCAAAGATTTAAAAATTGTACACAAATATAAGCGATTCTAGGGGGACAAAATTGTTTTGCATTAAATAGTTGTATGAATTGGGTAGGCATTAAATTGTTACTTGCTATTTATCAACCAATCATCATCAATAATGTTAATGATAGTCTCTAATTAGAAAATAAAGTGAGTGTACACTCGTCTTTTTATATATTCTCTCTTAATGTATCTGATTGTCTGTATAATGTAGTATATTATAAGGCGGAGGGAGTAAGTTATAATTTTGGTACCTCTCCAAGGATTTAGAAGAAAAAAAACTCTCTTATATGTACGCATGGTGCTTATGTGTAACTATTAGTAGTATCCATATACGCTGGCTGCTGTCTGAACATTTGCAGACCACAGACCAGGGACTGGAAGTTCTGTATTGTATTGGTCTTTGGCAGCTGCGACATTTACATATATGATATACTAACTCCTTTGACCAAGCTAGCTGGTACGGTAATGGAATACTGTACTACTACATTGAAAAAATGTCACTATGCTTGGCTCTTCTAGCTTTCTTGTCACTTTATCTCACTTTAATAACCATGAATATAGGATTAAGCAAATGACAATATGCGGAAACAGTTATCCTTTTGATTGGGACATTATATTTTTGATCGATAATAAGTCGCGTCAACATACGTTACACGACCAAGGTACAAATATGTTTCAGCGAAGGGTGGCTGCATGTCAATTTCAGCGGCTAGCGTGGTCTACACATATATATTTGTGCGTTGTAAAATGGTCCTGTTTACATCAGAATTTTAAAGAATGATCGCAAGAACTCGAAAGCTTTCAAGATCATGTCATTAAGAAATCGATTGCATAAAGGTTGGTATCAGCTGATTCGAATACAACACTGAAATCGGCTCTCTTCAGATAGCGCCAGCATATAACTATGATAGCTACAATCGGCGCTAGGAAAAACATGTTGGACTCTACAAAAATAGAAAGATCAGTGTCCAAGTTATCTTAAATTAAGAATGTTTTCTTTTAGGCCAAAAATTATAAATGAGTCGTGCTTAAGTAGGATTCGTGTTGCTGCCCTGGGTATAAATATTGGACCCCGGCTATTGTAAAAGACACACAATCAATAAAATACAAGTTACTTACTTTTTTGGCTCCGGCCACCCCTTAGGAGTAGGAGTAGAGTAGATCTCGGCGAGTTCTTCAGCGAGCAGGGCTGCATCGGTCCGGCCGACCTCCGGCTTGTCTGTAAGTACTGTTATGGCTTATACTTCCGTTTGTACGGCTGCATCAATCCGGTCGACCTCCACTGCGACTCTGGTATAAGCTAGTTATTGATTCTTGTCTAGTTCAAGTACGGCTGCATAGATCCGGTCGATCTCCACTGCTCGAACTAGATTAAGGTCAAGTTATCGGCTCTATCTAAGGGTGGCGTCCTTCGGATAGATTTATTAAGTTACCGATATTGTTTATTTCTTTCATTATTTATTTAATTACAACAATATCACTTTGCCCGATTAGGATTGATCTAGATCGGCCTTATATCCTGTTTTACCCATCGTTTGTTAATTTAAACTGATCTGATCCGCACCTTAAATGATGAGTTATGTTTTATCGGCTGTTTTATGTCAATCTTGATCATGTATAGCGCGCGGTTAAGGCATGCCTGATCTTAAATAGATCTATCGGCTAACGAAAACCGTTCCACGGCCCGTTATCACAGTTTGTGTGATTCTGCCTTACACCCCACTGTTAGCACCATGGAGCGGGGATCGTTATTTGGTAGATCTATTCCTGATAGGGCATGACCTTAATTGTGCGCTATGCCTGAATCGGTTGTTTTAGCCGATATCGAGTGTTTTCACATATGCAATTCACGCCATGAGACCGTTGAAGTAAGGGTAGGTTGAAAGATATGTAGCCCCATAATCTTATTATTGTATTACGGCCTGCATAATTCTGTCTCATACCCCACTGATATTAGTAATAAGTTAGGGTCGTCGAATTTATTGCTGTTTCTACGGCCTGCATGATTCTGCCTCATGCCCCACTGGTCATAGCGATAGATGAGATCTAATATGTTCATTTGATCTATCTCTATTAAATGGTTAAATTGTGATGGGTTGAATTTTTATATAAAAAAGAATTCGGTTACTTGCAGTCATTGACTTAACATAAACTGATTAGTGTTGACATCCTACTACCATTGACTAATATTTGTCTAAATAACAATATTCATCCTGAATGATAACCGATTTTTCTTTTATAATTCCATGAGCTTTAACTGATTTATTCTTATGAGTATGCTGGAATCGGCTATTTAGTCGATTTCCTTCCACATTGGCTCTCAGAGCCGCACATTCGGGACTGTCTGGCAACACCGGCATGTTCTGTCTTAAATTACTGATTAGCTTTCTCTCTTTGTCAATTACAGGGTCAAATTGACTGGCACGTCTCGAGAAGGGTGCGCATGACCAATAATTCCTACGTTGAAGCCAAGCGGATCTCCAGCTCCATCGAGCGGACCCTTATGGCTTGCTCGTGTGCCTCGGCACGGGACAAATTTTTGTGCTGACACACGTTCTGGCACGCCCAGTGGGACCCCACAACCATCATGGCGGCTTACAACAACAATGACATCCTTATGGTACCTTATGAAGACCTACCTGATGGAGATAAAGATATCATCAGCAAAGCTATAAAAGAATTTCAGAACAAGTGTTTGTTGTCCTACATTGCATGGGTAGACAGATGCAGATGAGACTGAAGACAGGCGTTTCTTAACGGAAGCTATAAACAAATCTGTTCATGATGCCATATCGAACCATAATGAAATTTTCTTGAACACATTCCACAACACCATAAAGGAGGTGTTTCATGGGTTTCCAGTTGATCAGGTTGGACCGTCTTATTACAACATTCCACATCCATCGACTCAAGGGACTAATCAAACTGGTACTAGCCATCAAGAAGCAACACTAGATGGTAATGATGATGTCCAGGTAGTTCAGAGCTCATCTGAGCAAGTTCAAGGCGCTACTACAAATCGGATACAGTATAATCCTGGATCGTCAATGCAGCATATGCAACAGCCGGCGGGGCAAGGTTAAAACCAGATGATTAATTTTGGCACATCAGGCCACATACCATCGTTGGTTCAAAAAATAGCACCATCAATTCAAAGGATCCGTAGAGATATAGATCCTAATGTCTATAACCAGAGACTTCAAGCAGCAAACCAGTAGAGGACCCAGCAGATAGAGATTCCACAAGGGTATCATTATGACACGGATTATAACACTCTTCATATGATTCCAAATCTAGGGTATCAAGGTACACAAGATTTCAATCCACAGATGGGACAGCAGGTGTAGAGAAATCCAAATTCAAATGCTGATGAGTTGCTGCTGAGAGTGACCGAGATGATGAAGAATCAGTTCGGTCCGAAGCCAAAAGGACTGACCTTCTCGTACAAATGCCTATATCCAGAATAGTATAATTTGGTCGCTCTTCCTACAAATTATAGGCTCCTAAAGTTTGCTAAGTTCACTGGCCAAGACAACACAAGCACAATAGAACATGTCAGTCGGTATCTTACATAATTGGGTGAGGCATCCGTTGAAGAGGCACATCGAGTTCTTTTCTTCTCCCTGTGACTGTCAGGGCCAGCCTTCACTTGGTTTTTATCACTGCCAGTCAAATCCATTGCCAATTGGGCTGACCCGGAGAAGAAATTTCATACATATTTCTATACTTGGGCTTGAGAAAAGAAGATTACCGATTTGACAACTATAAGGCAGAAAACTAATGAATCAGGCACTGAGTTTCTTTAGAGGTTCCGAGAGACAAGAAATTTGTGCTTCTCATTAAACTTGACTGATGATCAGCTAGCTACTTTGGCCGTTCAAGGGATGTTGCCAACATGGAGAGAGAAGTTGCTGGGACAAGAGTTTGATAACTTGGGTCAATTGGCTCAGCGAGTGGCAGCACTCAATAGCCAATTCCAGAGTATGCGCAAAAATACCCGATTCTAGAAAAGTATCACAGTGGCTGAAGCTTATAATCCATATTCAGTCAATGACAGCTATGAAGATGAAGAAGAAGAGGTTGCCGCAGTTGAATAAAATTAGGGCAAAAAGACAGTAATGGTACCAAATCCTTGGGGAAGAGGAGTCAAGGAGAGCTATGATTTTGACATCACAAAATCAGACAAGCTCTTCGATTTCTTGCTTCAGAAGGGACAGATCAAGTTGCCCGATAATTATGTTATGTTGCCCCCTGATTAGTTGAAGAATAAGAAGTTCTGCAAGTTCCATAACGCCACTTCTCATTCTACTATTGAATGTATAATTTTTCGGCAGCATATACAGAGGGCTATTCAGCAAGGAAGGCTCAAATTTGATACGCTTCGGAAGATGAAAGTTGATGATAATCCTTTTCTAGGAGATCAAAACATGGTCGATGCTAGGCTGCTCAAAGAAAAGACTAAGGTCCTGACATCAACCAAATCAAGAGAAATTGTAACAGTCGATCCCAAGATGCAAATATCGGCTGACGAATACAGAAAAATTAGAAGACATCGCAACAAGCAAAAGAGCCAATATGAGTAGGGGAAAACATCAAAAGATGGGGCGACAAAGCCATGGGTTACATCTTAAATTATGTTGAATAAATGGCAGCGGTAGAAG